TTTAGTTATATATATATATATATATATATATACTTTTTGGCAAACAAAAAAAATATCCATGGTAAGGTGGTGGATGATGCAGGCCACCTAAACCATTGGCCAGCCTGACTAACCAGGTGAAGCAAGTCAAGCCACCATGAGAGGTGTGTGGCTATGCAAGCAGAAGCCTCTCATGGAGTCAGCAAACATGAGAAGTTTGACGAACTAGATAGACTTTGTCAGGGAAGTTTGACTAAGATAGGTGGATCTTTGACTTCCTCTCAGATCTTGTTCATATGGGTAAGAATTTTTTGTTCTTCCAGCAATTGGTACTCATTTATTGACGGAAGCTAATGAGATTATTTTGTTCTTGCTAGCATCATCTACTATCTTGTTTTCTCTTGCAAGACATCAGTAAGTTTCAGAAAGATTGCAGAAACTGTTCTTTTTCCTGGAACTGTCCTCCAACCACTTCATGTTTTGTGGCTATGTGAACTGAAAAGAACAATATGAGATTGAAGCCTTTTCATGTTGCAGCATGTATCAGAAAAACAAAGGTTGATATAATGAGTAAAATGAATTCAATTCTCCAAAAGAAATCTTTTCCTTTGGATTGTGGCCATTCTTAGCATCAACTTATACTTGTAGAACGGATGTCACAAGAATAAATCATAACATAGTTTTATAGATCTTAAGGCCCGGTTTATAAATAAAATCCACTGAGATCTCCAGTACAATCCCTACTTGCTTCAACTACGCAATGAATCGAGCAACGTATCAGTCTGTCTCTCAGTTCTTTAGGTTCTTCAGCTCTGTGGTGTGCAGTGCAGGAAATCCACAGTTCAGAGTTATGCAGCACTCTGAGTTAGAACGGTTGACATCAAATGTGACATATTTATGAAAATAAAGATATAATAGAAATAAATAATATGTAGATTTTGTAAAAAAATAAACAATTAAGATAAGGACTTCTATCTTAATATACTCCCATAATTTTCTCACAAATCATACAACTCTCTCCGGTATATGAATCGGAGACCCCCGATAGATCTTAAGTGGGAATCGGGATTCAATCAACGTCTTAACGTAACCTCGAGTGACTCGACCAATTACGCTAAGCCCGTAAAGGTAGGCAACTCTTGCCAATCATAACTCCTTGTGATTCCCATCCTGTTTGACCTCCGAATCATCATTGCCTCGAGTGACTCGACCAACCATCGTGTTCGGTTAAGTCATCACCATCGTTACAAGATGAATCTGATTCGACAATATGCCCTCGAGTGACTCGACCAAGTATAACATGTCCTTAGGTCATCGGTGACATCTTTATATCGTAGGTAAGATAGCAAATCGCGAAATAGATGAGCCTAGAATGACTCGACCAACTCAACTTACGTCGGGAATTGGTTCCTACCTATAACGATGGAAAGGCCACATGAGTCAATCTGATTATCACACGTTTACTAACTTAATATTATAAAGAGAGGAGATTTTTGATTTGGTCTCATAATATGATGTGTCACATATATACATATTTAATATATTTCTACATCGCATGTAAATATATATATCTAGTAGATGTATAAATAATCACACATCAAATTAGTAATCACACCAGATAATCATGAACCACATCCTAATGTGATTAGGCCCGAGCTAGTGGACCTAATCATTCACATCAAGATCTATATGTGCGGTGGCACATCTCCATGCCCTATGATCGTCCATCTCATCATCGTCGGTTCCGTCGGCATCTCGACGCATTTCCATGCGTCATGATCGTTCATCTCGGCCTCGTGGGTCCCATTATCGCTTCCACGCTCCCGATGCGCCTCCTCGTGTAATTATAACTTAATCACAGGTACGCAGGCCCGACAATAAATGAGAAATATATTAGAGGCTCGCAGACCCCAATAATAATAATAATAATAATCACATATACACATATATTATATGGTCCACGATCATTTATCCACATCATACATCATATGTATTCATCATTATCGTGTAGGACTACTAGATAATAATAATAATAATAATAATAATAATAATAATAATAATAGTAATAATTAAAATTTTTAATTAACTAATATTTTTAAAATCGGGACATGTAGGAAATTTTTAGAATTGTAAAGGGTATTTTGGTAATTTAGATAGAAGTGGCAAATCTAGAATTTCTCAAATTCACAAGGGCAAAATTAATTTTTTTTGCCCAAGAACCCTACCCTTCTCTTGCTTGCTACCGCCGTCACCACCCTACCAGCGGTGGCCCTACGTGGAGTAGCAAGAATTGAGCACAAAATTAAGTTGAAAAAGGGATAAAGAAAAATTAGAAACTCTCTTAGGATTTAGAGTCCCTTCCTAGTATTTAGAAAGTTCTTCTAAAGGGAGAAGTGAGGTCTAAGAAAGAGAGGTTGTAAGGGTTGTCTCCTAAACCCGTGAAAAGGAGAAAGAGTGTAAAAGGGTAGTTGATCATCGCTTATTGAAGGAAGATCGTTAGTGGATGTTAGTAGCCTTGACGGAAGAGGAATCGACGGAGTGGATGTAAGTCACGATGACTAAACCACTATAAAAATCTAGTTTGCATTTCTATTTGTGCAATTTACCTTACTGCAAACTTCTTTACTTGTTTTACTTTCTCATTACACTCTTACGAATACTTTCAAGTTTAATATCTTTCTAGAACGGGTTTAATCGAAACGAAGATTTTTGAATCGATGATATTTTTATCCTAACATTTGGTATCAGAGCCACGTTTTTCTTATTTGGTTTAACACCCAAGAGAAATGACTTTTTTCGACTTTCAAGAGGGCTTCTATATCGTTTGTCCTCCCATGTTTAATGGGATGGATTACATTTATTGGAAAACTCAAATGAGAGTTTTCTTGCTTTCTATGGATTTGGATTTATGGAACATTGTCGAAAGCGATTTTCAAAAGTCTTCTACTCTAATAAACGAATGGAATGATTTAGAGAATTTTTTTTTAAAATGCTAGAGCTATGAATGCTTTATTTTGTGCCTTAGACAAAAATGAATTCAATCGGGTTTCTACTTGCAAAATGACTTTTGATATTTGACATACTCTAGAAATCACACACGAAGGCACAAGTAGGGTTAAAGATTCTAAAGTTAATATTTTGATATATGATTTTGAGTTGTTTCGAATGGAATCAAGCGAGACTATTAGAACATGTATACCCGTTTTACGGATGTTGTCAATAGTCTAAAAGCACTTGGCAAATATTTTTCGAATTTTGAACTCATTAATAAAATATTGAGATCATTTCCAAAGAATTTGGACCCTAAAGTAACAGTCATTCAAGAGGCCAAGGATTTGAATAATTTTTCTCTTGAAGAATTTATCGGGTCATTAATGACATGTGAGATGACTTGCAACGCTCATGAAGAGCTTGAGAACAATCTTCCAAAAACCAGAAAGGATTTGACACTTAGAACAAATGAAGACCACTTGAGCGAAAGCTCAAGTGATGATGACTTTGAACTCTTGACTACAACGCTTAAAAAATTTTTAAAACAAGAATCAAAGAAAAAAAAAATAACTTAAAAAGAAGATACCACAAAAAGAAAAAAAACATTCAAGGCGGCTTAGGACGAATCTAGCTCATCCGAAGATGAAGAGCAAACCAACAAGGGCAAGGTGGCGAACTGCGCTTTAATGACTTTCGTCAATAAGGTAAGCGACTAGACATTACTCTAATCCAAATACATATTATCTCATTCCATGATCAATGCATTTATGTTGTAGTTCAAGAATTTCATTCTAAATCTTGATTATTAATAGTAATTTATGCAAATAACAATGTCTCTACTGGAAATGCCCTTTGGATTGCTTTAGCTTCTTTGGATTTTAGCGATATTCCGTGGTGTCTAATTGGAGATTTTAATCATATTATTAATAAAGAGAATAAGAAAGGTGGTAGTAATTTTGCTATTTCGATTTCAGTTCATGTTTTTTGATACATGTTTCATTTGATTGGATTTAATGACTTGAGATTTTCTGCACTCCCCCTACTTGGACTAATAAAAGTAAGGGGCAAGCTAAGATTCTGGTGAGATTCGATAGAGCTATTACTATTACTAGTACTAGCTGGCTCAACTTATATGGTAGATCTAAAGTGTTTCATTTACCTTGGGGATATTTTGACCATTGCCCTCTTAAGATCAAAATTTCTACAAATTCTCATGCTCGAAGAAAGTTTTTTCATTACCAAAATTTTCGGAATTATTATCCTAAGGTCAAGGACCTTGTGAGTTTTCAATAGAATATTTTATATGATACTTCTTCTAATCTCTATCTCTAAATATCTCAGCTCCCTTAAAGGTATTTTACCCCATTAAAAATCTCAGCTCCCTTAAGGGTATTTTACCCCATTAAAAATCTCAGCTCCTTAAGAGTATTAGAA